CTTCAGTAATATTTTATTTTGAAATACTTAGATTGTTCTTATGGAGAAAATTATGAATGCTAATGTTTAATAAAACCATATCTAAATAATTCTTATGACAAATATTTTGTATTTAAAAGTTTAATATCATAATATATATGCCGCGTAGACTTCTAGTTCTTGTTGGTAAATAAGTTACTACAAGTGTTAGTAATTAAAATTAAAAGTAATTAAATTACTTTTAATTTTAGGGAGGGTGTGTAGGAAAAGAAGGTGTTTTATCCCCCCCCCATCCTCCCAAAAAAGGTGATTTTTAAGTTATAGTCGGTTTTTTGACGAATTTAGTAGGGTGAATTTTAGATTTTAAGAATCGCTTTTTTTTCTTACTTTTACAAAACCATTCGATACTTTTTAAAGTTTCATCCATCATCCCTCATTTTTAAATTTATTGCTTTATAGAATCAAAAGTGCTCTAATTAAGGCTAAGAAAAGTGAGAATCAAATCATAAAAGCACTTATATAAACATACCGGTGGAATTTATGACATCAAAATCCTTAGTTCTTTATCTTTAAATCAAGAATAATTTGTAAAGAACTGTAAATATTCAATCAAATCTTTTTATATATAACTTTACAGATTTCAGTAACTTATAGAAAAAAGTAAGAAAAAAAAAAAAAAAAATAGGGCAATTTAAAAGATATTAAAAAAAACCCTATCGCTTTCCATTAAAACGTTAGAAAAATGTTGTGCGTTGCGTTGGCCCAACATCGACCGCCAATGTTGTTTTAATATTATTTTTAGTTGCAAATTAATATGGATATAATTCAACGTTAGTCCATACACTTTGGATTAACGTTGTGTTATAAACATTGGATCAACATTAACTGATATACATTAGATCAAAATTGATTCCTATACATCGGATCATCGTTGGATTTAGGTTGGAAAAACAACTAACTTTTGCGATGTTTTTACATACGATGGACCAATGTAATTTTGCTAACTATTTTTAATCACGTTAATATTAAAGTTTTCATTATTATTAATACGATAAAACTAACATTGGATTAACTTTGTATTTGCATCAAAGAAAATTGACGACGTTTGCGATGTATTTACATACGTTGGCCCAACGTAAGTGTGCTAGCTCGGTTTAAGAGATGGAGGTGCAAACTATGTTAAACCTTAAACAAAGCATGCTTCGGCAATAAACATCAATATGCTTAGCAAATAACAGGAAAAAAAAAATTTGAAAACAATTTATTATAGTTGCTATTTAAAAATATAATTAAAAAACTTAAGAAAAGAACTTTTCAAAGGGGGCTTTGTAAAATTTTTATAACCTACTTTACAATATTTTTTGTTTTAAAAACGTAGATGTAATTAAATTGTCACACAATGTAGATGTCGCCAAAATTACTTATTTACATATACATTTCTTTTCAATTTTGGTAGATAATAGAATCAAAAAACTATTTCGACGTTTGAAGTTTTGTGTAAATTAATGACCCGATAATAAATCCTTGGTTTTAATAACTGCGCAGCGTAAAAAGCAAAGAATTTATTTATAATTTACTTTGAAAGACATATGTGTAACGCAGTATTGTGGTTTATAACTTTGTCTTGTTGCCCGGTGACAAGGGATCGATTCTTCATGAGCGCTAATGCTATTGTGTGTACTTGTGTGTAAGTTGATTAAGGTGCCCCAAGAAGTCCTTACGGTCGTATCACAGAGCACCGCGGAAGTATTTAGTTCTTGTTTTATGCGTATTGTTTATCATTGTTGTTAATAAAAAGTATTTAGTTCTTGTTTTATGCGTATTGTCTATCATTGTTGTTAATAAAAAGTTATATTGTTTTTAAAATAATTTTTTAAAATTACATACATCGACTGACTAAATAGGTAAAACATGCAGGGAGTGTTCATACATTGACTTACTAAATAAGTAGAACATGGCGGGTGTGTAGATACATTGACTAATGGTTTCGGTTTGGGCAGGCAATAACTTAAAAATATAGTTTTGTGTTAAAAAGTGTTTAAAAAGCAATGCAAACAGTTATTTAGTTATATTCGGATCATCAATTTACGCACTTTAAACGTTGGAACAGTTATTTGATACTCTTATCTACCTTAAATTTCAATATTCAAACGGTTAGATTCCTGGTAACAAAAAGATTTAATATAACTAAGTTATCAGTAAATTTTTCCTAACATATATAGATACTAAGATTAAAGTTTTATAGATTTCATTTATTATAGTTTGATCTAAATCGTGTAACCAATTAATTTTAAAATCAAATTCTTACAGTTAAAAAAATCTTATCATTTGAAGATCATATTTATCTGCAAAATATTTTTTGTTATTAAAATATTTTTATTATTAAAATATTTTTTGAATTTTTGCTGAAAACTTGGCTCCACCAATCTGATAGGACTAATTTGATTTAGTGCCGATCCAAGTTTTCTCATCCCATTGTTTGAAAGTCCTATATTCTGCTGAATTTAAACCATATTCTGTGAGATCTGCAGGAGATGCAGGTCGCCAATGGTACTCTGTCATCATTGAAGTTGATTTCTTTCTGAATTTGTTGAAGAATTTTAGCTTTGAAGTTTTCAGTCAATTCTTGATCACCTTTCTTCATACAGATAACACAAACAAATTTTCTACATTCTTCATGGTTTTTGGCAAATGTAGGCATTTTTAAATTCTTAAATATTTGTTCACAAAAAAATATGTTTTCCTTCAAAAACTTCTAAAAGTGTACTGCCTTTGCCCAGAATATATTTGTTTACTCTTTTCGTTAGTTTCGAAAGTTCGATTTTACGCTTGCACTGATCAAAACGCTCAATAAAGAATTATTTCAAAAAAATGAATAAAATAAGAAACATTTTACGTTTCATGGGCTACACTCTTTATTTTATAAAAAAATTAAGGGTGCAAGTTTAGTACTAATAATAGCCAGCTTAATTTAGCTCATAAATCAACCCTTTTAAAAAACCTTCATGATCAAATAATTCTTTTTGATGTTAATCCCCGATTTCAAAACAACTCAATATAGACTCCCATCGGCATGTACTATCCCCCCTTAAAAGGGTTTTCATAGGGTATTTCATTGATATTAGGGTCCCAAATTTACAAACCGTGATTATGAATAGAAAAATGAGACTGATGGTTGTCTAAAAGTAATAGCAAAGGGACTTCTTTTATTGGCTTGCTGAATAACGGGTAGTTTTCTCGCAGAAATATAAGTCAAGATGTTTTCTTTTCTTTACTCAATGAGAAAATTTATCTTATACAAAATTATAATCATAAGTTATACTAAATCACATACCTCAAGTTTTATCTTTACCACCCACATAAACATATTTACAATTTAACATTAAACCCACATAAACGCATTAGTAATTATATACAAAAGCGTACAAACATATTAACAACACATATATGCTCACTTTAAATACAAACCACTTGACGTCACGGATTACTGTAACATTTAACTTAATATGATTACACTCCTCCTTGATCCTAAAGAATCGTATAAACAATAACCAATAAATTTTTTTGGCTTGCATCGGTCTCGAGCACTAACTTGCAAAGGCATGTTTATCTCTTGGCGACTATCTTTGACATTGATTACCACTTCATTCACGTTAGCTATTCATTCAACTTGGTCCTCATTGTTGTCAACAATTTTTTTGCAATTATTACCGATTTCTCATTCCACGTCCAAAATGAAGCATTCGGGCTGATCAAGATCAAATGTTTAACGTGGCTCGGAATGAGGTTCACGAATTGTGAAGCTTATACAGGATGATGTCTTGAGCAAGGGCTTTCAGAATCCACAATATGTTAGCTTTCAGCACCATTTACTTATCTTCCTTCTGAAGCATGAAATTTGTTTATTTATAAGCCAATGGGCAAACCAGAACTTAACTTTATTAACCCATATTCGTTTATTAACAAATTAACAAAAAACTACTTTTCTCTTCAGACTAAACACCTTCTCGTTGCAACACGCTCCAAAGATCATTTATTAACGCCCTCTTGCATTTTTGGTTGATTATCAAGTAATACACAGTATATATATATATATATATATATATATATATATATATATATATATATATATACTGTGTATTATATATATATACATATATATATATATATATATATATATATATATATATATATATATATATATATATATATATATATATATATATATATATACATATATATATATATATATATATATATATATATATATATATATATATATATATATACATATATATATATATATGTATATATATATATATATATATATATATATATATATATATATATATGTATATATATATATATATATATATATATATATATATATATATTGTGTGAGTATTTAACGTCATTATGATATTCTTTGATAAAAGGTACTTTTCAAGTTTTGATAGAATGTTCAAAGTGACAATTTTAGTTATAGTAAGGCCGTTATAGACAAAGAACACATTTTATTAAAAATGCACTACCGGTAAAGATTTTTTTTGTAAAATTTTGCCGTTTTTATATTTTACCCGCGCAGAAGTTTGTTCAACGTTGCTTGAGCAAAAATTATCATTGCTATTGATTATGCTATGAGCTAGAATGAAGGAAGTTCACGCCTCTGTCATAACGATCAAATCTTATTAACCATAAAACCTTAATAACCATAAAAATCTACTATGCTACGATTTTGACGTCAATTTTTTAGAAATGTCTAACTTTTTTATAGAACGTTTAATATATAGATAAATAGTATTAGATTTGCAATATAATAGATATCTAAAAACAAAAAAACTTAAGGTCTTTTTTTAACCTTCAAACTTTTCACGAATTTTTATTGAATATCTGTTAACTAAAGTTGTTTTATCATGAAATTATTTTATTTAATAATTACAATGGCAATATATATATATCTTAAATTAATTTATGCTGAATGTTTTTTACTTATCAACTTATTTTTGCTTTTTAAAAAACAGTTATCAAATTGTTATGGCCACCTGTTTAGTATTTTTATTGCCTTCAAATATTTTGGAAACAGAGTTTAGTGTGACATTTGATAAATTTACTTTGAAGTTGATAAAACTTTTAAAAATTTCACAAAAAGTTTATGAAGATAGTTTTGAGAAAGTATTAGTTATGTACTTTGACAAAGTATGGCGACCAATAGACGACAAAAATGATTATAAGAAAGCAACATTTATTATCAACTGCAAAATTATGTTGATGATTAACATCTTCGTTTTAGTCTCCATTGATCCCAGCAAGAGATCTTTTCCTGCAAAAAAATTTGGTGATTTGATTTTTCAATAAGACGTAGGTATTGATGAGATGTTCATTAATAAACTTGAGGTTATCATCAAAGCGTACGCAGCCTCGTGTAAGTCTGCTAAAACTTGTATCTAACCATTCCTTGTAAACTTTGGAAATAAAATACACAAATTAACAAATGATAATATTCTAGAAAAAAGTTGTTTTTCAATTCTGCTTCGGAAAACGAAAGGTTATTCAATGTTTACAATAGATGATGTAGAATTAGAAATCAAATGGCCTGAAGGACTTTCTGATCCAAAATCAAGATACATCGATATTCGGAAAAGAAAACCTACGTCAAACAAATTGTATGAAAAAATCAATGAAAATGTATTTATCAATGAGTTCGTTAAAAAAATTGACGTTACGTTAACAACTTTAACTTATCTCAGACAGTTATTGCAACCAGAAAACTGCTATTCAGAATCTGTAAGAAGACTTATAGTAAATATTTTATTGTTGCCGGCTTTTCAATTTAATGATAGGTTTAACTTTTCGCTTATTACCGAGTTTAATATAACAGATGAGTCCTGCACCAGCAAAAGAATTAGTAACGGACCATTTGATTATTTTTTACTTGGAAAAAAGCAACATCTAACAACTTTAATTTTTGATCAATCAAATAAAAACCTCCAAACTGATGAAGAAACTGAATTAATATATGAGACAACCATTATCGAAGCGAAAATGGACTTTGAAATAAAGGACTTACCTAAAGCATTGGCTACGCTGATAGCCCAAATGTTTCATGTATCATGTGGTTCCATCTCGCAAGAGATCTCATGACGGTTTCAATGCCAATACAACTCTGCGCATCACAGCGTTAAAGGAATCTTGTTGACTCGTCATCACTTCATGTTTTTTTCCCTCAGTGAAGAAAAAAATTTCTATGATTTACCTACACTTCATTTTTATGGTAATCACTCTATAAACATCTTAACGAAAAAAAGTGTTCGAAGCAGTGGTCTTGATCAAAATGAAGAGATAAAAAAAACCGAAGTAGAACATATTTTGCAAGTTTTGCATTGCTTTGCAATGTTTGATTATGAATAATTTGTCATATATATATATATATATATATATATATATATATATATATATATATATATATATATATATATATATATATATATATATATATATATATATATATATATATATATATACACATATATGTATATATGTATAATGAGAAAAAAAAATTTTAAATACTTTTTAAATTCTACAAACTTCTTTTTTGAATATTTACCAATATAGGAATATTAAAATCTTATTAGTAAATTTAATCTTATGTTATCTTAGAAGAGGTATATAAAGAAAAACTTTTTTAAATAAAATTAGTATTTTTGTAAAAAGTTTGTTGAGAAATTGTAACTTAAATTTACCAATGTATTTATTAATTTAAGTTATCTGCTTGTATTGAGTTTTGATTTTCAACGATTAAATAACAAAACTATGATATACACTCAAAAAAAAACTCCCTTATATTCAAGGGTAAAAATAAGGAAATAATTTCTCACAATCAACACTGGTAAAGATTCTCACAATCAGCACTGGTAAAGAAGAAGGAGATAAAAATTTAAGGAAATGGTTTTCCTTAAAAAAGGTAAATAATTAAGTAAATAATTTTCTTAAAAAAAAATTCTTGAATGAAAACAAATAATTAAAAGGTAATATTCCTTATACTAGGAATTGTAATAAGGAAATTTTTCCTGCCATTAAGGAATGTAATTAAAGCAATATCTTTTTATTGTTTTTACTTAATCTATCATTAGTCTCCTTTTTTAATTTCCTTTTTTTGGCTCTACACATATAAGTTCTTTTAGAGTCCATGCTATTGTAAGAAAATTGTTTATTAGAACAATTATATTTATGTATTAACCCTATAGATAAATATATATATATATATATATATATATATATATATATATATATATATATATATATATATATATATATATATATATATATATATATATATATATATATATATATATATATATATATATATATATATATATATATATATATATATATATATAGGGTGTAAATGTTGTGTTTGTGTGTAAATGTTAATTTTATCTTTTATTATTGCTTTAATATATTATACACTTTATAAAATTAAAAAAATTTTTTTTTTAATATATTTTAATATATTATATTACTTTGGGGTCATTCCATGCCTAGTGGAAAGGTCCGTCATGGACCATCTCAGATTTTATTGAAATTTTTTGATTTTGCACATATATATATATGTGAAAAGCAAGTTTTACAAATTTTAGATCAATATCTAATATGGTTCTTGAGAAAACGCTATTGAAGTAGTAGGCGATTTAGCATGAAATTTCACTCTACAATAAAAAAGATTTTTTTCGTCATTTTTAACAGCCAATAACTTTTGAACAAGTTAGTTTTATACTTCAGCTATTATTAGATAACAAGTATGCTGTGGATACTTTGGGGGAAAAAAAATTTAAATTCTGGCTTTTTAACTTTTTCCATAATAGCGGGCTAAAATTGATGTTTTTGTTTTATAAATTAAATTTTTTGTGATTTTAAAGACCTTAATCTTAAAAACTAGTTTAAAAATTAATACAAATCAAATTGCTGATCTACATGTGGTGCCTGCTGATCTACATGTGGTGCCTGCCGATCTACATGTGGTGGATAAACAATAAAAAAAAAATCAGTTGATTGAGCTGCATTCAAAAGTTATAGGTCTCTAAAAAAAGTCGGATCGAGATTTTCCTAAATTTGATCTGCGATGCAAAGCATCTGTTACCTAAGATGGCACCTTTTTTTTTCATAAAATTTTTTATACGCATCAATTAAAGAGTGTTAATTAATAAAAACCAAAAAAATTAATGGGCGCTTATTCATAACCCCCAAAAGATAGTCTCTAAAAGTCAGGTAAATTTTCTATAAAAAATTATGAAGTTAACCTAATAAATAAACGCATTGAACTAAATAATGTTATTTATTATAAAATATTAATTAAAAAATAAAATGCTTGTAGCCTTATATTCGCAACAGATAAAAACATATAATTCCTCCTCTCTCCTCCCCCTCAGTTCTTTTCCCCTTCGTCCATCTCCCCCCTCCCCGCTTTATAATACAAGTTTCATTGGGATAAAAAATTGGCGGTTTCTTGTCCCAGGTATTCCAGAAAAGAATGATATCTCTCTTCCAAATTGAAGTTTTTAAAGTGTGTTTCTATTGAAACTTTGTCAACAAAAAAAAAAAAAATATTCCTTTGACGTGTTAAACACACCAGCTGTACATTTTGCTTGGTGTGTCAATAGGATCGTTAAGTGACTGTAGACTGGCTCGTGCAACAAGACGTTTCACTGTTCCACCAACACCATCATAAGGACTTTTACCATGTGATGTTGCAAAAAAGTGCTACTCTGCAGTCATGTCAAAATTGTGTTTATGGTAGCATAAGTTGATAAGATTTTTGTAATTTTTATATTGTGATGCAGCTCCATTTTTAAAATAGATAATGTGTTCAAATGTTTATAATTGTTTAAGTTTATCAATAACATTCTTCTGGTTTGATATAACGCAATAACTTTGACTATCAAGTTTTTTATTTTTTATACACAACAAAGGGGTGCACAGTTGCCTGGCTGTTATTCCAGAGAAAACCTTGCACTGTATCCTGTATTATAAAACTTTAGTTTTCTGCAAAGTAAAAAAGAACTAAAGCTTGATTTTCTTTTAAATTAGTTTTCAAATGTTGGTAGTAGGTGGCTTGACTTTTTGATATAAAATGATGCTTTCGTAAATTATCTAACTGTTCATAAACCATTTCAATAAATTCATCTAAAGGTAGAGTTGCTGGTACTAAATTACATTTGCAATTTGATTTTTGTCATTGATAAAAATTAACTTCACTAATTTCATTTTATGTAAACAAAGTGTTAATGTAATCTAAAAAAATATCTTTAGCAGGACATTTATCGCAGCTATGCAGCATACAATCTCTATTTTCAGTGCTACAAACCATTAATTTCAATAAGATTTTGTAATCACCAATTCCAGAAATTTTCTGTAAGAGTAGCTTTACATTTTGATGGTACTGGCAAACACAAACTGCATGCAGACCCAAAGCACTAACCACAGAAATGCACCACTTCGACCTTAGCTCACAAAACTTCAAGATAATTATATTTCTTCTTAAACTCATTATGTAGCTCTTTCATATTGACTAGTAGAAGTCGCTTTTGAATGTGTTGCTTTATACTATCTACTTTAACTGAAATAAACTCTTTCCTTACTAGACAAACCCTTGAATATTCATCGCATTCATAGAAATAAACAACCTCTGTAATTATACCTCCACTTAGTTTTCTACCCGGTTTTGGAAAAGGTTTTGATAGTATTCCACTTTTTTTTCTTAATTTTCTGGCTTGTACTACAGATCTTTTTGAAGTCAAAAAATACTTCTGAGTTTTTTTCTATTGACCAACTGTCTGAAGTGAGTGTAACAAGTGTAATTTTATCAAAATTTGACAATGTTTTTTCAAATTTTGACTTAATTTGAGTCATAATGTTGTCTAAATCTGTGTTTGTTTTTTTCAAACATTTTTTTTGAGGGTGATTCGATTCCACAAAGTGCAGCTATTTCTAAACCTAGCACATTGGCAACGGCCTTTAGTGTATGAGCTCTTACGTTATGAATTTTACGCTTTCCATATGCAACTCTATCTTTCTTTGAAACAAGTTTGAGAGGTGAGGATCCAAAACTTGCAATACTTAAATTAAAATCTTCTTTTAATGTATGATTGTCAACATAAATTTCTTTTCCTTGGAGTTCATTTTCTTTTGTATAAGGTTTGTAATTCAGAGCTTTTCTGCAACTAGTGCAAATTTTTTTGATCAGGTATTAAATCAAAATGTTTAGCATATGAAAGACTGATAACTCTAAGAGAATCTAAAAAGTAACGGTAATAATTATTAAATATTGTTTTACATTTATTTATTAATTAATACATTTATTTAGTATTATTAAGGTATTCATAATAAATTAAGGTATAAGTTTAAATATTAAAACTTACTTTTCACTTTTTTTACGTGCTTGTTCAAGGGATTACAACAATACCTGTGATGTTCATTCTCATACATCAACAAGTAAACTTTTTTGTGATAGTTACAAATAAAATCTATGGTATTTACTTTGCTTCTCGAAAAAAGAAGCTCTCGGTTTAGTGAAACCAGTTCTTGTTAGCATTTACTTTTTTTAGACTTGCTAAACTTGATAAGATAGTAATGTTCATTTAATGCTTTACCAATACAGCAAGTAGAACACTCAGGCATATTACTCATTATTAATTAGTTTTAAAATAAAATAAATTGATTTTATTAGTACTTTTTAGATTGACATATTAGTGATATAAAATCAAATGAAACAATAACTTAACTTTTAAAAAGTAATAATTTTATGGAAAATTTACCTGACTTTTAGAGACTATCTTTTGGGGGTTATGAATAAGCGCCCAATAATTTTTTTGGTTTTTATTAGTTAACACTCTTTAACTGATGCGTATAAAAAAAGGTTATGAAAAAAAAAAAGAAGTGCTATCTTGGGTAACAGATGCTTTGCATCGCAGATCAAATTTAGGAAAATCTTGATCCGACTCATTTCGGAGACCTATAACTTTTGAATGCAGCTCAATCAACTGATTTTTTTAAAAATGTTTATCCACCTCATGTAGATCAGCAATTTGATTTGTATTAATTTTTAAACTAGTTTTTAAGATTAAGGTCTTTAAAATCACAAAAATTTTTATTTATAAAACAAAAACATCAATTTTCGCCCGCTATTATGGAAAAAGTTAAAAGGCCAGAATTTTTTTCCTTCCAAAGTATCCACAGCATACTTGTTATCTTAAAATAACTAAAGTATAAAACTAACTTGTTCAAAAATTATTGGCTGTTAAAAATGACGAAAAAAATCTTTTGCTAGTAGAGTGAAATTTCATGCTAAATAGCCCACTACTTCAATAGCGTTTTCTTAAGAACCATATTAGATATTGATCTAAAATTTTTAA